AAGGAAGGAAGGAAGGAAGGAAGGAAGGAAGGAAGGAAGGAAGGGAGGGAGGAAGGAAGGAAGAAATTCTCACCCTGCCATTGGCTTTGAGCCTCTGTCCATCTGCACGCCTTCCACAATTCTCCAGTGACAACGGGCTCCTTCTGTTCAATTTGATTGATAATCCGCGGCTTGACGGGCAGGGGTCCTGTCAGAAGCAAAGAAAAAGCAAAGGGGTCTCACCCCAGAGCCCAGAGGGAGGGGAAGCTCCCCTCCCCAGGGTTGACCAGTCTCCCTCTGGACTCAAACTGGGAGTTCCAAAGGTGCTTTTTTTTTTCAAGAGGCCACTGGCCTTTCTTCATTTTTTTTTTTTTTGGTTGAAGAGGTTTTGCTTCTCATCTGAGAAGCTTCCTCCATTCTGACTAACAGTTCAGTTCTTCAGTCAGAAGTGAAGAAGCTTCTGGGATGAGAAGGGAAAACTCTTCAAGGGGGAAAAAAAACCCAAGCTCTTATTGGATGGTGGGGAATGGAAGGATTGATACTCCTTGCTGACAGGTGTTCATTTGGATTCTTTTTAGAGAGCCATTGAGGCCGCTCTGGGGGGTTCGCCTGTGTTTGTCTGTGTCCTCGGGATCACCTGAGTAGTGCAAAGTAGCCCAAATAGTGCAAAATGCAGTTCTATTATAATTAACTTTATTGTCAGAGTACAACATGTGTACAATGAGATTTTCCAACAAGGCTCCACACCCACTTGCACTACTCAGGTGACCCCTGAAGACATCGACAAACGCCCAAGTGGCCTCAAAAGGTCTCTAAAAGAATGCAGATGAGTAGCTTTCTTCAAGGAATAGAAATCCTTCCATTCCCAGCCATCCAGTCAGACATTTGAGGGGGGGGGGTCCTTGAAGAGGTTTCGCTTTTCATCCAAGAAGCTTCCTTCAGTTCTGACAGAAAGATTGAACTATTACTCAGAAGGGAGGAAACTTCTCTGGATGAGAAGCAAAACCTTTTCAGGTTTTTTTTCCTTGAAGAGGTTTCGCTTCTCATCTGAGAACTTCTTCAGTTCTGACAGAAGGATTGGGCTGTTACTCAGAAGGGAGGAAGCTTCTCTGGATGAGAAGCAAAACCTTTTCAGTGTTTTTTTCCTTGAAGAGGTTTTGCTTCTCATCCGAGAAGCTTCCTCCCTTCTGAGTAACAGTTACTGTAACAGTCCTTCCATCAGAACTGAAGAAGCTTCTTGGATGAGAAGCGAAACCTCTTCACGGAAGCAAAACCTTCAAGAACATCCAGTTTGCCTCTTGGGAAAGCATCTTTGGGAGAACGATGACCTTGATATCTGAGAATCTCCAAAGACACTCAAACTGGGAGATTTTGGGGAAAGGAACATGGCCAACAGTAAAGTTTCCCCTTTGGTGAACTGGAAATCAGAAGTCCCTTGTCGATAAATTTTGAATTTTCTTATAAGATCTTGACTTACATCAGTTCATTTACTGATCATTCAAAGGTACAACGGCACTGAAAAAAGTGACTTACGACTTCTTTTCACACTTATGACCGTTGCACACCTCCCAGGGTCTGGTGATTTATAATCGTATGCTTGACAACCAATTCACATTTGTGACCGTCGCCATGTCATGGGGTCACGTGAGCCCCAACCTTCCGACGAGCAAAGTCAAGGGGGACGCCAGACTTGCTAAACAACCATGTGACTCAACAACTGGCAGGGATTAGCTCTAAAATGGGACAAAGCTCACTGAAGAAATTTCTCGCTGAGCAATGTAACATTTGGGCTCAATTATGGCCATAGATCGAGGACTGCCGCCATTGACTTTCCAAAATCTTGAGAAGGGATCTCTCGGTTGGAAGAGGTTCTTGGCATTTTGCTCTTCCAGAAAGAACCAGAGGAACTTGGAGCGGTTCAGAGAAGAGGAATTTGTGCTTTGTGGTGACCAGAAAGATATTGGATGATATGGACATACGGAGGCCGTGGAGAAGACCCTCTTCTAGAACCTCCCCCAGAAGAAGGTGAGGACCTCTTGCATCCTGTCCTACTGGGCAGAATAATGGAGTTAACATGGAGGGGGTCCGTGGGGCTCTCTGAGCTTGGTGGTTTCCTAGCAGTTGTTTCATGACCAAACTTAGTAATGTCGTCAGTGCTAGAAGGGAATGAAGTTGGCGGAGAGGAGGAGGATGACTGTGGGGGTTCGGTGATCATGGACTTCACGTGTGTGCGGGCAGCTTTCCAAACTCCAGCTGAGGCTCTGCCCCGCCAATCAGCTGAGAGGATAAAGGGGAGAAAAGCGTGGGGGGGGTGGCGGCTGCGAGGGCCGATCCTGCGCTTTTTCTCTTCTTTCTCCGCTCAGCTGCTCCGCGGAGCTTTTTTGTTTTTAACTACCGCTTCATACAAACCGAGCCAAACCGGTCACATTCTCAAAGTCTCTTAACCCAACCCTTCATTTCAGAGCGGTTGGGACTACCAATCGCATCGTCCACCTCCGGGGTGGCCTTTGGAAAACAGGCTCGATCTCACTAGGACCCCGGTGGCTCTCTCCTCAAAGACGGAGGGGGTCTGTCAACGAGATGCGCTCCAGCTAGGAGACTTCTAGCTTCCGTCTCTCTGGTACCGAGGAAAAAGGGTGGGCTTAAAAAGTTTTAGCAACTGGTCCTCTCCCCAGTTTCTGGGTGGGCGTAGCCTAGTCCGCCTCCTGCACCACCCCGGGCGGGCTTTCCTTGGGCCTCCAGGAGGGCAAAAACAGCCTCCCTGGGCTCCTGACTCCCTCCAGAGGTTGGAAACGGGCCTATTTCTGGCCTTCTCGGACTTCCCAGAGGCCCGTTTTTCACCCTCCCTGAGCCCCCATGTGCACTCTGCATTTATCAGGGATCCAAAATGGGCCGTGTGGGGATTCCTGGGTGGGGGGGAGGAAAGGAGTGTGGGGGGAGGGCCAGCCAATCCTCAGAACTGTCGGTTCATCGAACCAGCCATAAAACGAGTTCCTGGTTAGCTAAGGGTTCGCCCAAACTGGGGTAGCAGCCCGACCTTTCCGAGGAGGCCGTGGAGATCGTCACCATGGCCTTGTCTAGGGCAACAGAAGCTCCACCCTTGGAGACACTCCAACCAACTGGGAGAAGGTCTGCGGCCTTCAGTTGGTCAGGATTCCAGCAGTTACCTCCATTTAAACCACGAGTCTCGAATCATACTTCCAAGCTTCAAAAGGATTTATTGGGAGTTAATATGTCCAGTGCTGCCTGGGTGTAGCCGACTCTGAGATACCATAATCCTTTGTCACCCTTGACCCTGGTTTTCCCCACTCCTACCCCCTGGGTGTGTCATGTATCATATTCTCCAACGAGACACATTTGTAGCCAAGCATCATCAATCATATTCTCCAATTAGAATTTTGAAACTTCAGTCACCTAGTTACTATCTTTGAAAATATTTATGGAATGCACTTTCAGTTTGCAAGCTGCCGCACTGCTGCCCCCTCCCTTTCTGTTGGCAGCTCTAAAGAGACCAGAGAGATATTTTAGGAGTTGGCACACTTCTTGCTGCTGGAAGCTTTCCCCCCCGAAGGATCCACTGTTGGTGACACAACGCTGGGGCCAAGGAGGACTCCGGGAACTCACTTACCCTCTTCCCTCCAGGACCTGAGCAATGAAGTCGTTCTTACCCAAGGACAGAACCGCCTCGTAATTCTCCATCATCACCGCTTGGTAGAGCTCCCGTTGCCATTCGCTTAACTCGTCCCATTCTTCCCGGGAGAAATAGATGGCCACGTCCTCAAAGGTCACCTGCGGGAGGAAAGGAACAATCCCTGGATTTTAAGTCGGGGCCAGAAAGGATCCCTAGGGAGACCCAAGGACTTTGGGCTCTGGGGCCTGGCTCCATAGCTGTAACTGCAGGAGGGAAGAGAGAGAGAGATGGTAGACGATAGATAAATAGGTAGGTAGGTAGGTAGAGATAGACAGACAGACAAGAAAGAAAGAGAGAAAGAAAGAAAAAAAGAAATTGATAGCTAAATAGATAGATATAATGGATAATCAGAGTTGGAAGGTGCCTTGTAGGTCATTTAGTTGAACCCCCTTCCCAGGCAGGAGACCCTACACCATTTCTGACAGATAGGAGTCCAATCTCTTCTTGAAAGTCTCAAGTGAGATAGATAGATAGATAGATAGATAGATAGATAGATAGATAGATAGATAGATAGATAGATAGACAGACAGACAGACAGACAGACAGAAAAATGCCACAGAGAGAGAGAGAGAGAAAGAAAGAAAAGACAGCTAAATAGATGAGGGGGAGAGATAGATAGACATAGATAGATATAGATAGATAGATGATAGAGTTAGATGATAGAAAGGAGGGAGGAAAAATAGTGAAAGCTAGATAGCTAGAGAATGATAGATGGCACAGAGAGAGAGAGAGAGAGAAATATGGGTATATATTTATAAATATAGATATCTTTATAAATATGGATGGGCAGACAGACAGACATATTCTATAAGTCTCCTTGAGTCAGCACGTGGGAGTAGGTAGCACTATAAATTTTCTAAATAAATAATGGATGATAAATATGCAGTAGAGGAAGACAGAATACAATGAGAGACAGACGGAAAGAAAGAGACAGAGACAGAAAGAGGGAAAGAAAGAAAGAGACAGACAGATAATGGATAGAGAGAGAGATGGGTGGATTATATGAGATGATAAATTATCTATATAGAGAGGGGGAAAGAGACAGAAAGAAAGATAAACAGAGAAAGAGAGAGAGAGAAAGACAAAGAAAGACAAAAAAAAAGAGACATGCGGGGCTTCTTTACATCTGAATAATCTGGGTATCCTTTTCGACTAGAGACACGTAGCTTTGGGGCTCTATG